CCCCCCCCCCCCCCCCCCCCCCTCTGGGAAAGCAAGCCAAAGTAGGAGAAGGGGGGGGCAGCGATAGGATAAGGCAGAAGGGAAGGCAAATGAGGGACAAAAGGAATCCTGAAAGGCACAGGAAAGTAGAAAGTAGGAGTAAGGAAATCAGAATAGGGTCTTGGAATGTATGCGGATTTGCCACAGATGAGCGTAAAAGACTCGAAATTGCCGAGCAAGCGGCCGAAAAAGACCTGGACATAGTGGGAGTCCAAGCGTCGTGGGAGAAGGACGGGGGAGAAATAGGAAAAGAAGTGGGAAGCTACACATGGGTAGGTAAAATGAGGAGAGGACAGAAAATCAAGAGTAGAGGGGAGGGGGGAGTTGGATTCTTTGTCAAGGAGCACATGTGCGACATAATTGAGGTGATCAGCGACACCAAATTCAACGAAAGCATGTGGATAAGGGTACCAGGGGAACGGGGAAGAAAGGACTTGTTCGTAGGAAATGTATATATGCCACCAGAGTCGAAGAATATGGTGAAAGACATCAGGATAGGTTTCGAGGAGGTAGCAGCGGATGTACAAAACTTCAAGAGAAAGGGAGAAGTAGTTCTAGTTGGGGACTTCAATTCAAGAATCGGGCGAACCACGAACCCACACGGAACCATAGGGCAATACGGGGAGGGAGCCACGAACAAAAACGGGGAAGAAATGCTGAGGTTCCTTGACAGTAGCGAGATGAAGGTGTTGAACGGTAGAGTCCGAAAGACAGAACCGGAATTGACTAGGCAATGTTTCAAAAAAGGAGAACGCTCCATCCTTGACTATATAGTCGTAGAGAATGGGGGGAAAAAGACGGAAGTACGAGTATGCACAACGGATGTAGGCACTACAGACCACGCGTTGGTGTGGACAGCCCTACAACAGAAGAGTCATACAGAGTAGGCGACGCAGGAAAATGTACAGATGGAGAATAGATAAGCTAGAAGTAGAAGAAACGAGGGTAGAGTTCCAAGAAGAGATGGCTATAAACGACAAGAAACTCTCGGAGTTGATGGAGGCAATGGGTACACCGAAGGATGCCGAAGGCCGGGACCAGGCCGGGTCTAGAATCATAGAAGGGTGGGAAGAGCTGGTAAACACAACAGCAAGCAGAGTTCTAGGTAGAAAGTTGATAGTTTGTAAGAGAGCAGTGAAGTGGTGGGACGAAGAAATCAAGCAAGCAATTCGAGTACGTAGAGAGTCACACGCAAAATATGCGGCAGGGAAAACAGATGCAGGATGGAAGGAGTATGTTGAAAGTAGAAAGAGGGTGAAGGAGTTGGTCGTGAAGAAGAAGAAAGGGTTGTGGGAGGAAGTAGTCCAAAAGACTAACGAAGATTTTGAGGGGGGGATGAAGCAAATGTGGGTAGGAATTCAAGGGATAGTGGGCAACAAAAGAGGGGGAGACACGGAAATAACGACACTAAGATCTGCCGAGGGTAAGATGGTAAGCAGTTCTAAAGGAAAGAGGGAAGTACTAGTAGAGCACTACCGCAAACTTGGGACACCCACCACCAACGACAACTTCGACTCGGAGTTTGAGAAGGAAATCAACTCGTGGGCAGAGGAAAACGTTGAAATATCTCAGAGGGAACGTAGTGATGTAGACGGGTTGCAGGGAGAGTTCACACGAGAAGAGGTAGAGGACTGCGTAGCGAAACTCAAGAATAGAAAAGCGGCAGGGGCTGATGGAATTGTGAACGAGCTTTTGAAACAGGGGGGGGAGGAGATGATTAACATGTTGGTCCGGATATTCAACTGGATATGGAAACACGAGTACGCGCCGAAGAGATGGAGAGAAGGAGTAGTCGTGAACCTGTTCAAAAAGGGGGATAAAGCTGACCCGGGGAATTATAGAGGGATAACCCTGTTGAGCACAGTGGGGAAACTGTTTGGCAAGATGATAGACAATAGAATGGGAGCCATGTTGGAGGGGAAACAAAAGATCAGCGAAGGACAAGCTGGATTTAGACCAGATCGTAGTTGTGTAGACCATGTATATACGTTGAGTAAAATCATCCAAGGTAGGAAAGACGCCGGGCGTACGACATACTGTTTCTTCCTCGATATACAAAAAGCCTACGACACCGTATGGCGCAATGGATTGTGGAAAAAGATGTGGGAACATCGGCATCCGGGGGGAAATGTGGAGGATGTTGAAAAAGATGACAGAATGCACAAGAAGTGCGGTGATGTTGGATGGGGGAAATTTCGAAGTACGTGGATATACTCCAAGGAGTCGCACAGGGCTGTACGATGTCACCCACTCTTTTTAAGATTTACATCAACGATTTGATAAGGGCGGTTGAAGCAGTAAGACAGGGAGTCCAAGTAGAGGGAAAGAGTGTGTCCGGACTGATGTTTGCAGATGATTTCGTGGGGGTATCCGAAACACCAGAAGGGTTGCAAGAACAAATAGATGCGGCGGTAGGATACACCCGAAAATGGAGACTGTCGGCGAACGGAGGAAAATGCGCAGTAGTGGTCTGTAACGAAGATAAGAAAAATCCCGTAGAATTCAAATGGAAATGGGGGGAGGAAGAACTACCGGTAGTAGACAAGTATACGTACCTAGGAGTAGAGATTTCGAAGGAGTGCTCATGGGACGCACACATAGCGAAGTTGATTGGGAAGAGTAAAGCTCAGATAGGCAAGATGGACGAGATCCTTACGGACCCACACCTAGACACTAGGATTAAGAGGTGTATTCTCTTGAATGTGATTGTACCTAAGCTAGAGTATGCAGGAGAGATATGGGAAGGTAACGAAAAGGCCGTCAAGCAGCTGGAAACGGTGCAGATGGCAGCGGCCAAGAAAATACTAGGATGTTTAAGTACAACGAGCAACACTGTATTGAGAGCAGAATTGGGAATGTACTCTCTTAAAACAAAGAGAGACATGCAGAAGTTGAATTGGCAGTACAAGGTAAGTAGAATGTCGGACGATAGACTACCAGCCATGGTTGACGAGGCAGCTTGGGGAAAAGCGACTCCAGGGAAGAAGGGAATCAGATGGGACAAGGTGGTAGAGAAGTTTTGGAAGGAGATAGGAGACGAGGAGGAGACGTTGGACACGGAAGGGTTCGGGGGGTTCAAGACGAAAGTCAAGGAGATGCTAGAGAGTAGGGAGGAGGCAACCCTTCGGAAGAAGGTACGAAACGAAGACCACTTGGAGATATACGGGAAGTTGAAAGAAGGGATAGGGATGAAGAAGTACTTGGACGGCCCCATGGACTATGCGAAAAAGCTGAAATTGCAATTTCGAGTAGGCGATCTGGACTTGCCAGAACGGAGGAAGAGGTATACCAGCCGTAGGAGAGAGGAAGAGGAGGATAGACACACATGTCCATGTGGCAAATCGGAGGAGAGTAGACCCCACATAGTTGGGGAGTGTGAGTTGTACAGGAAGGAAAGAGAGGATCTCGAGGAGGAAATGAGACAGAGAGGGTGTGACATGGACAAGTGTTGGTAAATTAGACAACAGCGAAAAAACGATCGCGATAATTGGGGATAGATGGTGGGCACAAGAGGCCCTAGAGGACGGGGATAAGATGTGCAAGAAATTTTTATGGAGTTTGTGGCAGAAACGTAAAGAGCTCCCAAATGTTGGTGGTGTCTCTAGTAGGTGTAGGAACGGTGCTCCGTCTCGAAAGGGACGCGTGGTCAATGGTCAAATGACTAAGGCAAGCAACAAATGAGTACGCCCCCCCTACCCCCTCGAGGACGCGTAGTCAACGGTCTAACCGCTGAGGCATGCAAAACATAAGAGTACGCCCCCCCCCAACCCGCCCGCGCTTCAATGGTCTATACAGACTGCGGCAGCATTTTCATGACAGTTACACCCCCACCCCGTCCCTCATCACTACCCCTACGTGCGCACGAACGCCTCCGCCAAACCTCCACAACAGGCGAGCGCTTGGCGACTACCTGTACCACAACTTGGCGGCTACCCACGGCAGCGGGGAGCGAGCGCTCAGCCGCGTCCTCAAGCCGGGGGCGTGGGCCCACTCCCCCCTCAAGCACCGCCTCCCCAAGCTAGACCCGTCGGTGCCGGTGCACTTCATGTTCGGCGACAGGGACTGGATGAACTCCACCGTGAGTTGTAGTTAGTTAAACCCTCCGACCGTGTACTGTACCGTCTACTACACCAACAGCAGTGTTTTTCTATTTTTTTTTTTTTCGAAGCCGAAGCGCTATGGTGGTACGTGTGTACGTATTCCGCCGTCGTGCGTTCTACATATGTGGCTGGAACCGATTCTCGTGAGTGAGGTATCCGCCCGCGTCGGCGTCAGTGCTTGTGGATATGGTGTCTCGAAGATGGCCTCGTTGAGCCCGTTGCTTTTACCCCCTTTATCATGGTTTTGTGAAAAAACCGTCGATAATCGATCCTACATATCCGTGAGGCTGTGTGTGTCGATCGTGTTTCGGAAATGGCCTTGAACAAATTGCCGTTTTCCTCTTCTCCATCGTTTGGGAAAGCCGTCAATCGATCAACGTATCGGTGAGGCCTTGGTACTTGATTGGACCGCGGCGTCCTCCTGATGCGAAGCGGGCGACGAGGTAGCTAGCAGTTAGGGGAGAGTGTCGCGGGGGGCGATGACAACGGGGGCTGCTGGCAGAATACACCGGTGCGGAACGACGTCAAAAAAGCGTGTATTTTAGTCTCCCGGCAACGGAGTAGTCGCGCCTAGACAACGGCCGCTCCTTTCTAGCCAGAAGACTCTGCTCACCGGCAAGCCCGCCCACAACCGCAAGTGTCGCGGCGCGACATGTGCATCTATCTGCATCATCGTCATCATCATCATCATCATCATCACCCGTCTTGTTCGTCCGGTGGTGGTGGTGGTGGTCGGTATTTTTTTTTTTTTATTATCTTTTTTGACCATCAGGCACCTCAAGAACTCCTGGAGAGCGCGCGGGCGGACGGGGGGTCAGGGCAGGAGATTACCATCACTACCGTGCCGAATGCGGGGCACCAGCTTTTCTTGGTGAGGAGCATGCGGCGAGCCAGGAAAATAAGATTGCCGTAATTCATGCCGCATGTTTTATTTACCATTTTCTCTATATTAACACAATATACCCATCTCTTATCCGTATGTAATACCGCATGTTTTATTTATTATTTTCTTAATATTAACACAATAAATCCATCTCTTATCCATATATTTGGGTCTAGGACAAATTGGCGGAAGTAAATATTTGTACGTTTTTTGTCGCGGTGGTTCGCTGGGCTCTTCGAGATCAAACATGCACGCCGTGTGGGCTGTTCTAGATAGCTTGGGCAACGTCACAGGTGCCAGTCGGCTTTGTCGAGCTTAAAATGTTGGATGTGACCCCTTTTGATGCCAAAGTATGCTCTCGTGAGCCCACCCTTGTACGTTGTGGATAAAACAAGCATAGGAAGAATCATAGGATCGATCCATGCGGACTCGGTCAAAGCGCGGGAACAACCGATCCTTAGCAGCGTCATGATAACTTCGGGCACTCAGGAGACCGCTGGTGGATATACACGGGTCTTTTACGTGCCGCCGAAAGTTGGGGGGCGGGCGTAGCTCTTGTGGCACCACCCTGCCCACTCCCATTCTGGACCGACTCTCCTTGCCCAAGCAAGCACCAAAGGGGAAAACCTGCTTGCCCTCTTGACTATAACGGACTTAGCTTTCCCCCCTCGACTTGCTTTGGGACATGACCCCTCGGCCACGCCGGCTTCGGGGAAGGAGCCTATGTAAGTCGTACGTACGGCGTCGTCGACGACAACGCGACGAAAAGAGGGAATCGTCCTGTATAGAGAGACGTTATGGATGCGGCTCTTTTGTGAGAGATAATCTCTACACGGATGCATGCATGCATGCTTTTCGTTCTTGTTAAACCCTGCATGTAGAGCAGTGGAATGTTGCTTGCAGCGTGTCTTGTAACGTCCCCCAATTGCATTACATCGTGTTCCGGATCATCGGGATATTGCACCGCTCGACTGCCTTCTACCCCCGTTCTCCATTTTTGCGACGGAAACCGGGCATGTGACGTCCCCGGGGGGATTGTAGACACACTTGGCACTACTCCTGTGAACATCACGACCATGCACTTCAGTTGTGCTGCAAGAACACCCTCGCCCTCCTGGACACCTTCCACCCACCCTCCTACATCTGTCCACAGCGACCGAATCAGCGCTCGTATCCCCCCCCCATCTGTTACCCAACTACCGTTCGACATTGCAGGACAACCCTCGAGGCTTTAACGCGGAGCTCTTGCGTTTGTGCGGGGTGGACGTCGACCCCGCCGCCGCTGATGCCGCCTACGCCGCCACTCAAGATGCCGTGGCTCAGATGGCGGCGGCGGCTGCCGCGGAGGAAGCCGAGGGTTGAAGGGATGGGAAGAGTTGAACATAGACAAGGAAGACTTACGCAGGCATGTTCTGCTGCCGCCGTCTTGCGCTGACTGCCCCAGCCAGGTTAGTTAGCCTGTGTGTTGACAGCGGGTGCCTGTTCCGCGAGTTGCAGTAAAGCCTGCGTTGGCAGCCGTTCGCGAGTTGTTGGCAACGTCTCGATGGTTGAAAGGTGTACAAAACGACAGGAGGAGTAGTTGCGGAGTTGAAAATTAAGTTTGGTCGGGGATACGTTGAACCTCGACGTCTTGCGGTCATTTTGCATTTTGTCGGAATTATTGTTCCGTGGGTACGGGGCTTCGCGGGCCTACGGTCACCCGCTAGGGCGTGGTATGAGAGGCTTTCGCCAACTCTTTGGGCTGCACCTCGCACTTGCCTTTCATCGGGAAGCCTGCGATTTTGGCACATGTGGGGCTCGTTGAAAACAGCTGTGCATTCGCACTCGTGTGTTGTGATCTATTATTGTTAGACTGTGCTGTTGGAGCAAAGAAGTAGGACGTTTACGTTTCGATCTCGAAGTTGAAAAATCTTGGGAACGCTCCCCTTTTTCGTCATGTTTTCTTTCGTGTATTGTATTCTTGCTTTCGGGCTTCGTCCAGATCGAAGCTGAGATTTGAATCATAATGTTGATTAGTTTTATTTCGGACGCAGAAGGCTGACGTGCCAAACGCGGGTCATATTTGCGGTTGTCGCCGGGGTGGAGGCACTTTCGGGCGAGGTTTGGAGGCTGTGAAAAGGGTCGGGCGGCCGGACGTTTGAATACACCGAAGAGAAAACAGCCAGCAAATTACGATCGATTTTTGTGTGATTCAAACTGGTAGACATTCGCAGATGGTCTGCCCTTCCGTTTGTGTGTTTGCGCGTCATCACGGCGTGGAGGGAGAAGTGAGAGTATATTCTGCAGCGGTCAGCAGGCAGCGTTTGCGCTTGTCCCGCTGATGTTTTTGACGTTGGCACTATTATAGCTTGTTGTGATATCCCCTAAAATTTGTAAGGATGGCGCAGTCATCACCATTGACGTGCATGTATGATATTCTACACGAGGCCGAGGTCGTTGATGATTGCGCCATGAAAACAGGGCGTGCATGAACTATTGGGCCAAAGGAGCTCAACACCTTTTCGGTGAGGAACGAACCCGTTATGGAATATTGAAGAATTGGTCGTTGCCGTGAAGAAAAGGAGCATTTTTTTTCGGTTGTTGTTTGAATATTAAAGGCCAGCCTTCCTCCACGCGTTAGCGAAACTAGCTACGCCCGCGTTCAGTTTGGTAGGTGTGGGCCGAATTTCGAGCGGGGTTATTGTAGCCGCTGACGCCATATGCGAAGGTGTACCGATTCTGGTAAAAGTCAATCGACGGATACCCTGCGAATCGGGTCCTCCTTAACACTCTCCACCCACAGAATTTACCCTCAACTGGGAACCTCTTGTGGCCAGGACGGGTAATTCGATGGAAGTGTCACAAGGTTCTTTATAGGATCGATTCCAAGAGGTGTTCTCAGGACTGACACACATTGTGTCCATGGGAAATGTCCAAGTCAGGAGAAAAAATGTGCACCCAAGGAGATTCGAACCAGTATCCTGCCGCTGACGCCATGTGCGAAGGTGTACCGATTCTGGTAAAAGTCAATCGACGGATACCCTGCGAATCGGGTCCTCCTTAACAGTATCCATCTAGGCGAAGGAGTGTGGTTGGTGTACTACGGCACTCTCAGCGGTTGCACTTGTGTACTACAACAGTACGTCTTTTCGTACAAGAAGAAGAGACGAGTTGGGGAGGATTTTTTTTTTTTTGTCTTCACTTCAACACTTCAAATCAGCGCTCACAGCGTTTTCTCCAACCCGTGGTCACACAGAAGAGCCCCTCTCTACCCTCCCCTCCTGCGGTACTTTGCCTTCGATTTTTAATGCGAGAAGAGTTCAGCACTCTCTTCCCTCTGTGCACACACAAACCAGCGCTATCCACTAGGCCAGGAGCGGAAGCGAGAGAAAAACTCACTCTGCAAGAAAAGCTCGCTTACGCCGGGATGCGAACCCCTGACCTGACCTCTAGAAGGTTTCGAGGACTACCTAGTACTAGACCACCGGGGCGACCGGGATTATTATGTGGATGGACGGCGACGAAATCTCGAGCTCACATCGTACATGCCATTAGCACAACCGGCACACGGGGAGAAAGTGCACAGGGAGAATAGTGAGTGATGTTGTTTGCCAGAATCTGTGGCAGCAATCTCTCGTCGTGTTCCAGGAAAGCGAGAATTGGTAGGTGAATGAATGTCGTCTTTCTTGCAAGAACGACGCAGCACGGTGATTGCAGTATTATAGTACGAGACGAGAATGGGAACGCCCTTGATGGAGCAATAATAATCAAATGAACCTTTTTATCATTTAGGACATTCATTCACGTTTGAGACAAAACAAGCGTGGCCGTTTGTCAGCTGCCGCCCCCGCTGTCTGTTTTGTTGCGACCACAGAAATGTGGACCCCCACCGCGCCTCTGTATAGTAATAATTCGCCGCTCGCTAATCTCATTCGGGAATATATCCTTGTGCCTTCGCGTACTACTGCTGTAGCAACCAACCAGATCTCGCTAAACCGGTGCTACCACGGGTGCTTGTAGCAACAGCACCACCGTGTACAATACATTGTAGTCTCTATCCTGCACGGCGTTGTGGCAGCATGGTGATGATGACCTTGCTTGCATCAATCAGGAGGAGAACTTCGGGATGCTGGATATATTATAGTCTGGAATCTATGCACACAAAATCTCTCTCTTCATCGTCATCATCATGCATTTCATTCGCTGATACATATGCATATGAAGGCTCTTCATCTTGCAACCGCCCTGCCTGGGACGTTGCTCGCGGTCCAAGACAATGAGACAACAAGCAAGCAAATAAGGAAGGGAGAGTGCACAGATGCACACATGCGTCCATACATACATCGCAGTATTATTTCTGTCTCTTACAGAATTAGACTACTACTGCTCAAATTATACACACACACGTGGTTGGGGAAGGGGCTGATATTTTGTTTTGGGTTTGCTCTCATCCTCTTTCTGACGAAGAAAGTTTACCACTGCTGCTGCTGCTCGGCTACTGCTGTACCCACTGCATCATTCATATGTATGCAATGCAAAACACACCGCGGCAACGGTCGGAGCGAACAGGGGAGGTATGCTCTGTATGCAAATGTATGCATGTACAACCAAACAGGAGAGTGACGGAGAGATTTGGGTGTGTGCACAGCAGTGACACCCGCAAGCAAAAAAACTACATACAGATAGATTCACAAGCAGAACGCATCACATTGACCAGAGAGGGGATGAGCTTGCTTGGACAACCCAGAGCGCTCCTGCGACTGCTGAGTTGCTGAGTTCCGCCGTCTCTCATCCATGACACACACTGCACAGCAATTAATTTTGTTCCATGGATGATCTGTCTGTCTGATGAGGGCCACAAAGGGGGCACGCCACATGGTAAGCCATCCCCCCCCTCCGTGTAAAGAGTGGAAAAGCACCAGACACGCTCGCTGGATCTTTGCTTTCAGCAGCTATAGCGCACCACTCCCCACAAGCGGCTGCTCATTTCAATTGGGTTAACGTGTACGTGCCTGCTGTGCGAACCGCCCCCTTGCTCTCGCACGCGCACACGCCGGGTAGCGCGCATGGCTTTCCAACCCCTGGGGGAGGATCGCCCCTTGCCGCCCGCTCTGGACGCTGATCTTTGCTGCATGGAAGACGGCTGGGATAGGGACAGCCCCTCCAATACAGGATCAGCGGCAGCGGCAGCAGCAGCAGCAGCAACAGGAGGCGCAGCTGCGGCAGCGACATGTATGTTGCCCCGTGAGCAGCATCAGCTGCATCAGCACCAGCCAGGCGCCGCAGCCGCCGCAGCGGGCGCCGCAGCCAGGCTTCCTACGCCGTCCGAGCGAGTGCAACGTCGGCGATCTCGACCCGGCCCTGCCATTTCATCACCACCATCATCATCATCATCATCACCTTCGTCTGCTGCTGGTCGCTCTTTCATCGTCAGCGAGCCTGGTCCGCCTATCGAGGAGCGGAAGGACGGCCTCCTCAAGATGATTCAGGCGCAGCACAAGTTCCTTCCCGCCGGGGTGAACGGACGGGCGGGAGCCCGGGCGCGCTGCCACGTCGTATCGCCGTTCGTGGGCGAGCGGAGGGGTCAGTTCGTGGCGTGGGAGGTGAGAGAGACAGACATTGCGCTGCTTATGTGTGTGTGGATTTTTTTTTTTTGGTGTTGCGCAACATCGTCCCGGCAGCGGAACGGATGATCCCTCGGCCTCTGTTCTTCGAAGCCGCTGCTCTCGATTTTTCGGTGTCCTCTTCTTTATGATGAGGTCGGGCATAATGAAAGAGCTCACAAGCACAGCACATTGTTTGCCGAGCAACGCGTTGCTGCTGCTGTCGAAGGATCTCCCCCCCACTCGAGCTTGCACAGCAAACGGACAACAAAAACTCCACAACTTCCACACGCAAATCACAACCAGCAAGTAGTTGTAGCAGCGGTGATCGAAACCTGTTTTTGACATGTGCTCTCTCGGCTTCGCGGTTGATGTTGTTGCACACACACGTGAACAATTACTCGTGCAAATCGTCATATATTATTATCCAGTCGTTTTTCTGGCAATTCAACTAAAGAACAAAAGTTTGGGAAACGGCTGTGTGTAAGTCTTTGAACTGACATTTATTTCCCTTCGCTACTCGCGAGCCGGCCAACGCTCTCGGCGTTGCTCAATGGAGCAAAACGTTTTCTAGAGAAAGCAGTCGTCAGGGCTCGTGTTGAACCCCGCTACTTCGTGGCGTCCGCCATTGTTTCATCTGGTTTCCGTCCCGCGCGGTATGCATAAAATGTATGCGTGTTTCTTTTCTTTTTTTTTTCAGTTTTTTTTATCGTTGTGCAACCGCTCTAGCTGCGCGCTACTTGCTGAAGAATACCGGCCAAAGAGGCGAGAAAAGACCCTGCGGTGAATTCCAAAAAACAGCGCGCCAAGGTGGGTCACCCACACACGCGCGCAAGGAGGCAGACCTCGACCTTCTAACCCTGTCTTCACAATGGGTGGTTCTTTGAACGAACGGTTCTTCGGCAATCTAGAGCAGACCGTGTACACGCAGCGCCGAAGCCTTTGTCGCACAGCAGCGGCAGCAAAGCTTCAGCTACGTTCGTATCCCCTCATGATATTATTGTTCTATCATCTACCGCATTGAAAGGAGTGTTTGTGTGTGTGTGTTTTTGTGTGTGTCACGGGTTGTTTGAAAATAATTGGTGTCCGTGGGCGACCGGTGCGCGCCAGTCGCTCTCGACCCACCAAACAGCAATCATCACGACGCATGCAGTCACATGTAGGGAAAGAGATTGGAGGGCCCCACACACCCCACACCCCACGCTGGTTGTTGGGGCACAACTGAGCGTCAAGACGGGAGCATTGTGCACAGGCAACTCCTTGGATCCCTATCGGCTGGTGTGGCCGCTGCTGCTGCTGCGCGGTGCGCGCGCGCTTGTGTGTCTCTCGTTTGAGAAAAAAATTTCTTGCTCTCTCGCTCCCGCAGCATCAGTTTTTCTTCTGCTTCCCTGACGAGCGACATGGCTCGCTCTCTCGCTCTCTCTCCGCCCCGTGTAGCCTACAGATTACTAGAGCAGTTCGCACTGGATGTCGATGGATGCTATTGGATGAGAAGTTTGTTGCGATGGGGAGGACCTGATCTCCGCTGGTCCTGCTGCTGCTCGTTCCCCACGATCATGAAGAAACAAAGCTTGACAACCTAATTTATGCGCAGGGTCACGGGGCAATATATTTTTTAAAGATCGATCGAACGCTTCATCAAGATGAACTGCTCTGAAAATGCATGTGCCGAAAGAACCGGCAGCTCAGCGGCAGAGTCCTCGCTGCCTGCTGTCCCACGTTGTCGCCCTCTTAAGTGCTGCATGTTGCTGTTGTTGCAGTCTCCCCTTGAAGATCTAAATGGCGAGGTCGGCGTACGGCTCGCCAGAGCAGGAATACCAAAAAACGTCTGTCCCCTGCGTGCTTCAGCCTTCGCGCCAAACACCTGTGCGCTATTTGGTCCCAATGTGGGGACCACACCCGTGTTTCCTCTTTCAAAACTCGATAAAATCCTTGACACACAAGCGCGGTTCGTACGTAACCTCTTGGAGGAGTGGTCTCCAATCTCCTGCCCCGATTACAGCAGCAGTGTTCGATTTTTTTCCGGCTCCGCTGCTGTGTTATCGGGAGACCCCCGCCGCTTCTGTCGTGCGAGAGCGGAGGCGATGTGCATCATCGTCATCGTATCCAACGATCTAAGGGTTCGAGCTATTTGACCATGACTGCTGTATATTCTGTGCGGTGAATGGATGAACGGACAATCGCAGCAGAGATGCGGATCTAGATAGGCTGGCCATCTCTTCTCTATGAACGGCGATACCTTGAGCCAGTGGCCGCCGCCCTCCAGTACTTCTGTCCTTCGGGCCGTATGGTTGTCGCTCGTGTTCTTTCTTCATTTCCAAGCGTGGAGGGCTCTTGGTGTATCTACTTGTACATTGTATGTGGATTGTTGTTCCCGCGCGTCGACACCTTTCAAAAGATGAAGGCCAGATGTGAAGGTAAGATTGCTTCAACCCTGACCAGCCTGCCTTTGTGTGGCGTCCCTGAAGGGAGAGATTTCCAAGCGATTTCGCCCAACCGGTTACAGCAGTAGCACAATACAGCTGGTGATGCTCCTGTGGGGGCATTATATTCGCTTCGCCCCCGCTGCTGTGTGGAGAGAGATGCACACACGGTATGCGAATGTGTCTTGAAATCTCCACCTTTGATTTTTATATTTTCCTTGTTTCTGCGACGGGGTGTTGTCTAAGTGGCAGTAGCAACAGCAACACACAGAGCCGAAATCCTTGTCTGTGTCCCCCTCATGCCCTACGATGATCATGCCCGCTTTTGTCCTTTTGGTGATCCATCCACCTACAACAGGCTGTCAAAAAATTCGTTGCCTGCGATTGAAACACACCTCGCATTTTCCGTCTTTTTTTTCTTTTTCGGAAATGGTTACGTTCACGGCATCGAAAGCTTTGCAGCAGTGTGCAGTGTTGCGTAGTGCACGCGGACATGTCGTGCCTACCCATAGGCTAAGCATTGCGGCGGTACGACTCGGCCTTTATGCGTCCATCACCAGGCGCCATCTGCTCCCAAACTTCAACAATACTTCTTGAGATGCACAGCAGGGAACAGCTTGTTTGCACTATTAAATGCATTCACAGGTATGCATGCATTTCTTCATATCATTTGCAGAAGTATTTTTTATTTTTTCTCGGTTCCAAGGCCACGGCAGAAAAGAGACAAAGTTTCGGTCGCCTCGCGCCATCGAAGCCCGGGAGATTGGTTAATTTTGCCGATTTCAAGGTGCATCGGGCGCCACAAGCCTGCTGCGTTTTTCTCGAATGGGTAGTCTTTCTGTGTGTGTATTTATTATTCCTTAAGTTTTTAGGAAAAATACATGCGTTCGTTCGAGATACAGCAGTACCAGCTACATTGTATCACTAACCACAGCAGCAGTCGAGGGATGTGTTAAAGTCTTGACAGTCCTTTCAGTGAGTGGAGGGGAACCGGCTGGGTACTGGTCCTACTGGAGTCTGTTTTTAGCGTATAAACTGATGCTGTATTCTATTTAGTGAGACATGCGTATACTTGCAATTGGAATTGTGTACAAGCATGCATAGAACACTCAACGGATACAACATTATTAGCGGTCGATTGACGACACGGAGAGGAAAACAACCAATCCGAAAGGCACGGAATGGAACAAGGAATTACAGCAGTAGACGTGGAAGTGATGAATTTGTGAATTTGTTGTGCTGCTTTATAAAACTAGCCCGCCCCGCAATTTCTCCGTCCCGGCATTGTACCAGGGATGCGAGTCTACGGTCTACCCATGTAGTACGGCATGCAATTTACATTGGGTAAGTTAGCCTGTGACCACGGGAATCGACCCCGTCAGTGTTAGACATATACGGACAGAAGAAGGTACTGAACAGAGAGAACGGAACGATTTTTAATGTGAAGACAACAATAACAACAACCCCCGCTCGTGTCCTCGCTGTACCTCTTCCTGTCTCTTGTTTGTAGAACCAAATGGCGACGTTCTTGGGGTACAACCGGGACACGGTAGCGGTGGCCCTGAACTACTTCGACCGGTACACGTGCGAGAAGCGCTGCAGCCCCACGCTGGCTCAGGCGGTGGCGGCGACGGCCCTGCACATCGCGGCTAAGTTCGAGGAGACAAACCCCGCATCCTTGGTGAGAGGCCTACAGCCCAACCTTGCCCAACGCTAGGGTAAACCCTAACCTTAGCGCCACTGGACACTATCAAACATGTGGATGCGTCGGAGTACAAACAGATAGCATGAGAAAAGAACAAGATGTACTGTGTAGTAGAGGCCGGCAAGAAGTGGGGGCGTGGGGTAGATGGAGTGTCACGTTGGATACCCGCGCTGATGAAGGCCGTGGTGTCACGGAAAGTCGGCCGATAGGTAAAGTTGGTGGCTGCATCCTCACCATGCACCTTCGTCCTATCCCCCACCCCACCCGTTTGCCCCCACACCGCTATCGGCAGCGCCAACTCCTCAAGTACACGCCGGTGTTCACGCCCGAGCAGCTGCTTGTCATGGAGATGTCGTTGCTGAAGGTGGGTCCAGCACGAGTGCGAATGGTGCAATAGATGCAGATCGTCGCCCACCCGCGTTCGAGGTAGAACAAGTATTTAGGCCTGCTGTTTCGATCCTCCCCATTAATACCAAGATACCACAACGAAACGCGCCACTTTCTGAACTGGGACGAAGGGCCCCACTCATGTATCGACCCGCTCCACCCCCGCCCACCCCCCACCCGCCTAACCCGAAACGCAACACAAACAGGTTCTAAACTGGGACCTGCGGCCGGTGACCGTGTACGACTTCGTGCGAGCGTTCTGCGCTCTCCTCGTGCAGGGGGAGGCCTCTTCCCACGCCGCCGCCGCGTCCGCCTCCGGGGGCGGCGGCGTTAGCGTCAGCGTTTCGCTGCAGGCCAGGGAGGAGAAGAAGGAGGAGCTCAAGCGCCTGCGCGTCTGGGCGGAGGACATCGCAGACCTCGCCTCATTCGGTGCGTGTGTTTCTCTCTGGCGGTCTATTCTCCTTGCCATTGGCCGTCCTTTGCTGCCGTGACTCCCACGGTATTGTGTCGGGCCTCCCAAAAAGAAGCATCTTTGTCTGCCTTTGCATCCCATATTGGTTGTATATGCATTGCACGTATTCTCAATCGTTCTAATTTGAGGTTTTCTCGCCCCGTCTCCCTTCCCGGCCTTCCACCCCAGACGTTCGCTTCGTGGACTTCCTGCCGTCAACCCTGGCCACGGCCGCCCTCCTCCTCTCCGCCTCCCGCGGTGGGGGCGGTGGAGCGGCCGCCACCGCCGCAGCCTCCGTACGCCCCACCTCCCACGCCGATGTGCTGGACGCGTGCTGGAAGGGCCCCGCCGAAGCGGACGCCGCCAGCGACGGCGCCGCGGCCGCCGCCGTCGATGGATGCGGCGGAACCGGTGTCGCTTCGCTCCGCCGCGTGCTGGAGTGTGTCCAGCTCCTGGGCTCTTCGCTCGCCGAGAGATACCCGGCCGTTGCTTCGGCGGCGAGGTCGGCGGCGGAGGGCGTGGCGAGGTACGCAGGCCTCCCTGTCCCGAGGGGTACCAGCAGCGTGCCCCCCCGGCGGGAGCCGGCGGCGAGGAAGCGTGCGGCGGCGGCGGCGGCGACTCCGCCGGTCGTGGCCGTCAAGGGCCGTCGCTGCACCACCCCGACCGGCGTCGAGGGTATCATGCACATCGAGATGGATACCCTTCGCGGGGACGAGGCTGGCCTGCAGCAGCAACAGCACCAACCGTCCGAGCACAAGATGCCTGGCGGAATCGACGGCGCATCGGCTGGTTGTGGTGGTGGTGGTGGTGGTGGCGGCGCTCCCGTGGGCCGCGAGGGGCTTGCGCCGGGGGGGTCTGTTCACGTCAAACTGGAGCACGAGCAGCCGCAACGCCGCCACCGCCGGCCCACCCCAATCATCACCGCAGCGGCCGGGGCAGCGAACAACGGCGCGGCAGGTCAGCCGCAGCACCAGCACCACACGCGCGCTCGCGCCGGGAGGCGCGGCTCGTCGTCATCGTTCGCCTGCTCGTACGATGACATAGCTTTCTCGAGGGCAACCAAGCAGAAGCGTGCGGCGGCGGCGGCGGTGACGGCGACGGCGACGGCTGCTGCCATGGCTGCTGTTACCTCGGCATCCGCTGCCGCTTCTCCCCGTGCTACCGCTGTTGCTGCCGGCGGCGACGTGAACGGGGCGGTGGCGGCCGAGTCCGCGGTCATGTCGTGCAACATCAGGAAGAGGTCGGCGGAGGCGCTCGGTCACTGCGAGAGCGGCTCCGGGTTCGGCGCTCCCGCGGCCCGGCGCAGGCTGGTAGCCGGTGGCGTGGCAGGCAAGGCCGTGAGGGTCTCTGTCTCAGCCGCGGGTTCAGCGACGTTGCCGCGTGCTGCGGGTTCGGCGTGCATGATGGCCGCTGTCGCCGCCACGGGCGTGAACGGCAACGCCACCGGCAGCAGGAACTGATGGGGCGTGGTGTTGATGCCGACGACATGAGGACGAAACCCAAGCCCGAATTTTTAGCAACCGCCTTGGCTGGTGGTGGCGCTGCTGTTGTGCGCGGGGGCGAGAGACGGATGGTGACGATAGGGGGCCGCGTGGACGCCGAAAGGAAAGTGTGGTGTTGTTTTACCCTGTGGTTTACTTACGATGTTCGGAGATGATGAAAGGCGAGTCGTGCGAAGAAGAGAAGAAGAAGAGTCTGGTTCGATTTTCACTTGCTTGTCTTTTTGGTTATCTGCGGGCCTCTCTGGTTATAGCTGTTTCTTTTTTATGGTGTAGGACTTAAATCTGTCCGATTTTTTGTTTTTTATCGTCGTCGTTTTTCTCTCTCTCTTTTTTTGTTTTTTCGCTTGTGGGCGAGGACCTGTTTTTTTAGCCCTCCGGGTCTTTCGTCGGATCTTGATTGGTGGACTGGACTGGATTGGATTGATTGGGTCGGAGGACGTGTGTCCCTCCCGGCCCCGTGCTTTAAAGGTTACTGCTGAAACCGTGGTCCCATGAAGTTTTTTTCCGGCGAGGAGGGGGGGGGGGGCGTACGCCGCGCCGTTGTTGAACAACGGCCTTTGCGCGGCGGTTGTTGAAGTTTTGTTTTTCTGTTCGAGTCACTTGAAGTCACTTGAGGAGTGCAGCAAAAGCCTAGGGGGGGGAGACGATGAAGGGGTCAAGGGTTTTACCCACCTTGACATGTTTTTTTTTGCCTGTCGTTTTTTCGTTTTTTGTTTTCCAACAAAAGCCATCCATCGTAAGACACAACATGGCATCGGCCGTGTAGTATCGAGCAACCCAAGCTTGGCCACCGCCGTGTGTGGTTTTGTCAAGCTTCGTTGTTCTGCATGTTTTCGTACTGTGTTTTTTTTTTTTGTCTCATGCTGATGTGTTTTCATGACTTGTGAGAGTATAGATGGTGCCCTCAGCGCGCGTGTGCAAGTATAGACAATGCCCCCAGCAGGATGTAGAGCGGGTTTGTGGGGTGGATGGCTTTTTGTCTGAGGGGCAAGGGAGTGATCGTCGCACATCGTATGCGGACTAGGAAAAGAAGGGAGGGTCGAAGTGAGAATTTTGTGCCCTTTGTTTTTTCTTCATTTTTTTTTTCTCACCCCGGGTCGTTTTTTACGTTTCATGTTTTTTTTTTTTTTTGTGAGAGTTTCTTTGTGGGTGCAGCGAAGAAAATATATGGCGTTCGTGGGTAAGATTAGGGCAGGGTCACACGGAAAAACGCATGCAAGGCGAAAAGCGCAACCATTTGTTGGTT